TCTAACGTAACTGTTCAATTTTAAGGAGCGATAGATATATATACCAACTATGACCAAAGTGAGGCAATCTTCAGTGAAAAACACTGCTCTGGTCATGGACCCACCAACATTTCCGGAAAATGATATTAGGAGGCAAGATAGGTTTAAAAATCACTTCGGATTCGAAATCAGGACGTAACCCTGTACCTCGAAAACGAAGCAAGTTTAGGACACATGTTTATATGGCCTTTATTCATCAAATTATATCACAAGGAATCATCCCTTGAATTATTTCGGTGTTATTTAGATACACCCTGTATAGATCATCCTTCATCCCAACATTTTTCCCATAGCGTTAAGTTCAGCAAATACCGATGGCGAGAGCACTATGTTTATTGATTTGATGTCTATGTAAAACAAGAAGGCACAACTACTAGTGTTCCGTTTCGAAGTACATTAAATTGACAAATTTGACTCCAAAATAATTCTGGCACGCGCCAATATTCATAACGTAGTTACTGCTGCCCGCTTCGTTTCCCCACCGCTTAGGGAACGATCGGGCGTGTTCGGTGAACACACGGGTATGATCTCGAGACTCTTGTGCTTGAGTGTAGTGGAATATATTTGTGATTTGTTTGATATGATTTGATGATATTGATGATTGATATTCGAAATTGTAATTTCTTTTTCATTTTATTGATTGAATCTTATGTTTCAACAACTCATCATGTTAACAACAAATGAAAGCATACAAGTAAAGTACTAAACATCAGCTGCCCGATTGGGGATCAATTGGGTGGTTCTCGCAAAATTAGGGTATCGCCCTAGCTGCTCAGGTAAAGCACCACACGTTGGCGTTGAAGGAAAATAAAAATTAAGCAAAACTTACTCATCACTGGTAGCGATTGATCAACTCCTCCACCCCCCTGGGTATCCTCAGTGAGACTACCTATATAAAGGGCTCAGCCCTAGGAGATAGGCCTCTGTGACTAACACCTCGCATATACACTAACATTCCTTGGCCAACACCAGCCACCTCTGCACCACGCGGAGGACCTGTATACAGTTTCTATATATACTATAAATGTGTTTTGTACTATGCGATGTTATATAATGAAGCGAAATAAACAACTTCCTCACGTTCGATATCCGAAGTGAAGCAGTGTCGAGCGAGGTTAGTACTTGGATGGGTGAAAATTCAAGGAAACGCCGCGTATGCGTGCGCTTTTTTCCGAAATAGTATATCAGAGCTACAGCTAGAGTCACTGGATGGTATTAGTTGGATGAGAGTTCGGACACAGAAATGACCATAGTCGTTCCTCGCTTTTTCATTCAAAATTGTTTGAATTTGATTTTTATGAACATCAGAATAGAAATATAATTTCATAAACTATTGAGAAAAGAGCATAAATGGAAATGTCCTGCTGTGTCATGAATTGTGGGAATTCTGAAGAGAAAATTAATTTGACGAAAGCAAGGTACATACATTACAGTTCCCTTCTCATAACAGCAGATTAGAATTACATTATATTTGAGGCCAATTTTCAAACAGATGATTTTAAGATCCGTTTGAGAGAATCTGCTGTTCCATTTATGTACAAAACATACATTAAAAAAAATCCAATATCTTCACAGGGAATGCAAAACAAAATCATCATTGAGAAAGAGAATTGATTGAAAAACTACAAAATGAAATTGAAAATTTGAGAACGAAACTGAGGAAATCAGTAAATTGCAATGTGATATTTCATTGAATGGCGTTTTCAATACCGACCGAATTCAAAATGTATCAGTGAAAAGTTGATGCAGCAAATGGTTGAAAATCAAAACAATCCTCATGTTTGAAATTTTACAGTTTTACATACAATAAGGAACTAGCTATAAGTATATCCATATGTGTCTATTTTGACAAATTAAAATGTTGTTACATGCATTCTGTACATGTTTATAACTGTTGTTCTGCGAAAAATGTATCACTATAAATTGAAGTGGGTGTTTATACCCTATTTCTATTTTCCATCTAGGCGCTACTAGGGAAATTGAAAAGACAAAGAGCAGAATATGTGTCTTATTCTTTTATTTACTCCAACCATTGTAATATAGAAAATGAAAAAGGACAGAAGTTCAGCTGTGTCAAAACTCTTATCTAACTAATACCATCCAGTGACTCTAGCTACAGCTATCAATGACGGAAATGACGTTAAGCCGGCGGTCCCGAGGCAATGGATGTTGGACTCGTTGATAATATCTAGCTCTGATTGGAACACCAGAGGATTCAGCAGAATATTCGGTTAGGGGTAGCTTGCTCACTGGCGTCAGTGATCAGCCTGGGTAGCAGAAATAGGCCGACGTTGAAGAAACAAGACGAAAAAGAGAACAAATTAAGTTTTCATTCAGCATTTTTCTTCATTGATTAGAAATTTCAATACTGAATTAGTGATGTAGTATGGCATCACAAAATGTTCTCCCAACGTGAAGCCAACCATCAGCTAATTTCTTTGCGTATTGCAATAGTATAGCCAAATTCAAGAGGCCAGTCGTAAACACTGTAGCAGTGATCACGCATCAAGAACGTGATAACCCTAATGCGGTTCTCAAGACGGTACACCCCTACTCTCGCCTACAGACATGGCGTTCCTGGCGCTTTGACTAATATAAGAGTATTTCAAATATAGTCACGAGTTAGTCACTTTGTTTACCGCCCGGCTTCTTGACATCTATCATCGGATCATTGCGTTGCGAATTATTACTACTAAAACACCACCCTATCTCTATAACAAGATTCAATATAGAACTGATGTACATCACGTCAACATCAGACGCAAAAGGATCCACATTGTTATAGACTGTTGGCCCACGACACAGGGTTTATCGATGTTCTAAGTCGGTATGCCATTTAAGGGACCCACTCACTTAGTCCAAGTTAACAGGAAGGAGTGCCTCGGAGAGTCGCAACCCAGTCCTTGCCCCGGCCCTGACCTCACCTTCCGGTTGGAAAAATGTTCAAAATTTTCTTTAAGAAGAAGCTTGGCAATGAAGTGTAATGATCTTATCTCACGACAATTGGGGCCCTTGCTGGTTTGCATACGCCTAGGTCACTCCCCAAGGGAGGCATACGAACCGGAAGTGGCAATTTTTCATCATTTTGATAACAATGAAAAATCTCTTAGGAAAATCATTTTAATTGGTTTTTGAAATTTTAAAATCGGTTCAGAAACAACTAAGTTACAATGGGAGATATTTATGGTGAAACACCCTGTACGGAATGTGCAAATTGTATGCAAACCATCATCTCATATATACTGTGTGGTCCACTAACCATGGTCAAAATTTGAACATTTCTTCGATTATCGATTATTTGACGAATATCCAGTCAAATGATGTTCGAATAAGTCGAGCTCCCCTCTCCGGAATCGTATGCAAATGTCAGGAAACTGATTAATGGATCAGAATTCATTGTTTCGCCAAAGGGCATACATTCTTCGATCATCGACTATAACACTGAAAAATTTCCACTTCCGGTTCGTATGCCGCCCTTGGGGAGTGACCTAGGCGTATGCAAACCGGCAAGCGCCCCAATTCTCGTGAGATAAGATCATTGCACTTCATTGCCGAGCTTCTTCTTAAAAAAAATTTAGAAATTTTTTTCAACCGAAAGGTGAGGTCAGGGCCGGGGCAAGGACTGGGTTGCGACTCTCCGAGGCAGTTCTTATTGTTAACTCGGACCGAGTGAGTGGGTCCCTTAAATGGCATACCGACTTAGAACATCGATAAACCCTGTGTCACGGGCCAACAGTCTATTAGACATTCCACCGAACAGTTCAAAAGACTGAACTATACAATGACTTTCAACTCTCACTCCAGGCTAAATCTTTGGCAAGCTTCAGATACTCTCTCAAACAAAATTTTCTGAACAATCTATGATGTCAAAGTATTTTGTAAATGGGTGTTCTTATTTGTGGCCCTTTTCATGTCTACATAATAAAGTGTTCACCAAAATGAATTCAACTTATGCCTATTAAAAAAAAACATTCTCATCATGTATAAAAATATTCTTTGATCCTATACTGATACCCTAGGTCAACTTACCATTTATGTATCCTTCTATATTCACTATAATTTCTGTGTATGTCGTGTTTTTATATTCATTCATTATCTATTATTACTATTTTGTTCCTTTTTATTTTTTGGTTAGGTGCAAGAGTAAGAATGGAGTTATCCAATCTTTTATCCTATCGGCAGATAAAATTTAATCTAAATTGTATTGCTCATTCTTCTGTCAATAAATACATATTATTATTCATTTTACTTGATTTTTTGGGATGCTCTCTCGTCGTTTCTATAAAATAAAAATATTCTTATTATTTCAATATATTTGTAGTGGGACAAATCAGATGATTTGCCCCAAAATGTCACTGCGTTTAAAAAATGTTTCTATCAGGGAGCCTAAAGGAAAAATCCAGTAGCTTGTCAGTGACAGTTTGTTTGGAAAAATGTTTGAAGGAAAGAAATATAGTTATATTGAAAAAATATCGAATTTTTACTTATCTTTGGACGTTTCGGGAACAAATCTGCTCCAGTTCTCAACATTAAAATGCAAAATATTTTCCTTCGGAAGTTGTGCTCTGCTTATAGTTTGACACTTCTCAGTGCCATACTTAGGTTGGCGTATGAATGAGTGATTTTAGTCTACAAATGAGTTACAGGATGTCTTCATCGATTGATCTTGAATCTACCATTTTCATGTTCAGTTTTCAGTAGTGAATACCATGTTTTATCTATATCAACTGAACAGGAAGCAGTGCTATTGTCTCCGTTCAGAAAATGCAAGCGGATTCCTTGATTTTTCTTTTTTGGTTATCTACAAATATATTGAAATAATAGGAATATTTTTATTTTATAGAAACGAGGAGAAAATCCCATCCCAAAAAATCAAGTAAAATGAATGTACCACCTCCTCGTTTAACCTACAGACAGTATTTAGCATATTATTATCATCATTATTAATTACTATTTTGTAGGATGAACCCTTCGACGTCAACGCAGCTCCCAGATACACCAACATGTTCGAGATGCAAATGCTGCAGACCAACCTGAAGCAGCGCGAAGGGGAGCTGCAACAGCTGCAGTGGGAGCTGAACAGGCGGGAGCAGGAGAGATCCCTGTTGAACGGCGAGATTTCCACGCTGATCACCAGAGTGGAGGAACTTGCTGGAAAAACTAGCGAGTTTGACGGCTTGAAGGCGAAATTCGAGGAGCTGGAGAAACAGTACGAGACGTTGTGCCAGTTGTACGGCGAGAAGGTGGAAGAGAACGAGGAACTGAAACTGGATTTGGTCGACGTGAAGGATATGTACCGGGGTCAGATAGACGAGCTGTTGAGACAGCAGAAGCAGAATGTGAAGTGAATTAGTCAGTATGTATATATTTGTTGGAATTTTCGTATTTTATAGTCTCATTCAATGAAGGAGTATAAAGGAATGAATGGGTTTGATAGTATTTATATCTGTATATATACAATATTATAATCACAGTGTTGCATTCGTTTCAGTGAATAGCCATTGTATGCATATATTTTTGTTAATGAAGGTATCGTGAATGAAATGGTATAGGAAAAACAAATTTGAAAATAGATACTTACCGAACCAGTTAGGAAAAACGATCTCCTGCGAAACACAGAGTTACACAACATTATAAAAAATTTCGCTTGAACAATAATAATGACCAGTTCTACATGAGTCCTACCGATTATGTACAAAATCTTGTACCTAGACTCCTTTGATAATTTCATCAGTGGAAAATGAATGATTCAAGTTCAGAGTGATATCAAGGAAGCAGCACAAAATGTACTATTCTCTTCGTCCATCCATATTGTTATCACGTAACTGGTGTTGAAATGAACATTTTACTTTATGCAACCGGTTATGTAAAGTAAGACGTTTGAAAATTAGAGAAATATATTTAATGAAATCCATAGGAATGTTTATTCAAGGGATTGTATGTATGTATGTATGTATGTATGTGTGTGGGTGGTCCGTGACCTGACGTCTTTAGGCCTCCCTTTTCGGGCCCATTGTGCACCCACATTCCTGGGATCGCAAGTCAGCTATGGAGAAGGCCGATCTCGCGAGCAAAAGAGACCAACTTTCTAGGCCAAATCTTTTTAACATCCTCTGGGTCCAGGATACTGCTCCCAAAATGGATATCCCTTGCTGCCACTACTGCCGGGCATTCAGTGAGGATGTGAGTAGAAGTCTCTTCATCCTCTAGGCACCATCTGCATTCAGGATCCTCCACAATCCCGATCGTGCTGAGATGTTTGTTCAAGTGGCAGTGCCCTGTCAGAAGGCCCACCACCAGTTTCAGCTCCTTCCTGTTCAAAGCCAAGAGGGCATTGGTCTGTCTTCATGACGGGTTTCCTATATGGTGTTTGGACTGCCTCATTCCAGGAGCCTTTCTCCAGCTGTCCTGAAACCTTTCCGTCAGGATTTCCTTCATCTTGAAGTTGCTCCAGGATCGAGTGACCCCTAAGATTGGCTCTGGGCCAATCACTGAACCCTTCGCCCCCTTTCTGGCCAGACCATCGGCCATTTCGTTACCTGGTACCCCTGAGTGTCCAGGGACCCACAAAAGACATACTTTGTTCGTTGCTGACAGCCTTTGTAGGCTATCTATGCACTCTGACACCAAGGCGGAGGGATTAAGGATTAAGTCACTTTGGCCCGATGGAAAATCATCAATAAAATTGATTGAACTTGCAATATCATTATTCAATTTGATAGGTTACCAGTTGGATAAATATTATGTTGTAAGTTTGCTTTCAAACATTGAAGTAACTTACTCTAGTTCCAAGTTATTGAATGGGTCACTTTAATCCGTTTTAGAAGGGATTATAGGACATAGTACTTTGCGAAGAATGTCCTTTGGTTCCAAAAGGGCAAACAACTGATTGATTGCTATAGATTGAAACCAGCATATTTGTTGAGTCAAACTTCAGAAAATGGCAAACATTAGATTGAGAAAATAAATTATCCTGAAACCTGATCATTCATGACACCTTCAGTTATTTGTTTTATTTATACATAAAGTTTTAATCTGTGATATAACGAAATTTTGAATTTATTTATGAGCAGGAACAGGTTATGTCTCAATAAAAATTGGAATATGGCGCAGACTTCTGATTTCATCTTACTGGTGCGCCTCGTATAGTTGAACCTAACTTTTGATGTTTACAGAATGAGAAAAAGTTGGTTGGTTATAAGAACACAATTCTATATACATCTCTTTTCCCGGAATAGAAATTGACTTTGAATTTTTGAAAAAGATCAATGCAGCCTTTTTTGATTTAGAGAATATCTTTATTAAGACGTGACGTAGTAGTACAAAATGTACGCCTACTTCGATCATCATCGGTAATTTTTTAGAGAATAATTAAAGTTGAAGGATTTCTTCTGAACTGATCAACATTCAAAACATGAAGTCGAAGATTTTCAACCAAACTTGAATTATAACTTTTTCCACAACCAATTTCAAATTTCTTCTCAGTTCAATCCTTGTTATCGAATCTGTTTACGTTGCAACGCCACAAAATAAGATACTACATGACGATAGGTATTTAATACTTCAATAGGCTCCCGTTAGGCTTTTTTTTCTAAAAATATGCACGATTTGTGATTGTTTTCATAGAGTGAAATTTACAAACTATGCGTCATACAGTGCTTATCAAGTTGTAACGGTCCACTTGAACCTTACCTAAACTTAAGTGACCCTTCTACTATTCATTTTTTTTCAGTGCAATCAGTTCGGAGTAACACTCAGTATGCATCGTATTTTCAACAGAGAAATAATATTTCAACATTAATTTGTCAGGACAACCTGTATATAACTTTCGTCTTCTTCCTGTGATTGTGATCGAATCATACGTGAAGATGCTGATATGCTTCCCTGCTAAGAGTTTCACTTGTTGATGTGTTTATCTTATTCTTATTTTTGTCAACAAACTCAAGACTTCTTCTTCTATTTATAACAATTAAAATATCAATATAGAGAATTCACTTCTATATGATTGCCTCACCTGTGTTATTAAAACAGTGTGGACAATCGATGTCACGTTAAATACAAAGTCACTAGATAAGGCCAATTTACATAGCACTCAATTAGACCCAGCGCTCTGGTTTCTTAGTGTTCTGTGTCTAAGTTCGACGGTGTAATCTTGACCCCGCCGAAATTCGAGCAAGATTGACGGAGATCGTTCTCTCTCGACTGGCGCTTGGCAGAGCAACAAGTAAATTATTTTACCGTCTTTCGAAATGCCAATTATATTGGAAATAGGCCGATTAAAAACTATAGGTATGTAAAATATGATGTAAGGTTAATTTTGAGCCATTTGATAATGTTCACATAATTATAAAAGTATAAGAAAACACATCGATCAACGTGATATTCTTTTCAGGCCTTTTTGATTTCCACTGGAGCCATTTTTGTTAATATGCGATATGCACTTGCGCGCATGACATGTCGTCATGGCGGCAATTTAATGATAACCTAACCGTCCTAACCTGTTGATGTTTTGGTTACAATAAAGATAATGTGAATTATATTTCACAATTGGGACTTATGGTTCGATGCCTCCCAAATTTCAACCCATATTATTGCTAATGGGGCAATAACAAGTGTTCGTCAGCTGTTGGAGTTTGATGCCTGTTTTGTTTATGTTTGGATACCATGTATATGAATGAATTGGATACCATTTGCTGATGCAATTTATGGAGTATGAGGAAGCCACCCATACAATTAATGGTTAATTTTGAGTAAGAGTATAATGATGGATGACCCTCAGTGAGTACTACTTGTGATGTAATTTTTGATTACCATTGAGGAGTTGAAGACATAGATCTTCAGTAGTGTCTTACTTTGTTTCCTTGTAATAAGTGTTCTCCTATTTGTGAGAAACGAAATAACAGCTGCTATTTCCTTTCATAGGAAACCTAGGTATTTTTTTACATTTATTATTCCCAGTCACCTGGTGACTTATTATTATCACTTGCTAGCCACAGTGAGGCTGTCATAGATTTAATTTCACTAACATTACATCTTTTGGCATTGCCTAGAATAGAGTTGAAACACTCACCTTTTCATTGATCAAATTTCACTAACATTGTAACCTTAAGTAATCTATTGAATTTCAATTTAATCATTACAATTAGTCATTATATTAACATTAATTGTAGTAAACATTGACTTATTACACACTGTGTGTAAGCACTTCTATTAACATCATTTAGGTAATTATATGCATGGTTTTCAAAAGGTATATAGTTTGATATTTTTGTTCTGTCCTATCCTAATTCTTCTCAGTTAACTCTGAGTGGCGCCCATAGTTTGCTTTACAGATAACATCTTGTGGAAAAACAAATAGAAAATAATTTTCTCAAAATCCCACGACCGCTCTACGACTATAAAGGCCACCGTGCATTGAGGCTTTAATTTCTTTTTGTGAAGTTACGCCACATAAAATTGGCGCCCAACGTGGGGCCTATTTTTGAATTTGCAAATGTCAACTATGCATTAATTGTTTGTACTATTGAGTTTTTCAAAGCCAGGCAAAAGCAAACAAATCTCTGTACCTTCCCAAATTCCTAGGACAAAACAAAAATCAAACCTTTTGTCTACTGCATAATATTATTTGCAAAGATTTACTTTTAATTTGCAAACGCCTTCCAAACAAAAACAGCAGCAGTTCCTTTATTGAATTCCATTCAAGGTTTTCAGGTTTTTTCATGTCTGATTCGATTTCATTCATACAGGGTGAACCTAGTTGGATATAATTTCAGATTACTGAAAAATATATATATTTATTCTTCAACATTTTTGCATATTCTTTTGAGAGCAATACTTTTTGGTCACTGGTGAGTATATATACAGGGTGAACCAAATAATTTATGCTGGTTGATAATCCATTTACATGAGGAAGTTTGTATTTTGAGTAAGTACTTGAATTTTTGAATTTTTGGTAAGTGATTTATTGAGAATTTCTGTGTTGATTGTACAGGGTGATTCTGAGTTGTATTCCGAAGTGAGCTGCATTGATTAATTTACTGTGTTGTTAGTTATTCCTATTCATTGAGTTTTGCTAAATTCTCTTTCAAGATTTAGTACCTTTTCTCTTGGATTACATACAGGGTGTTCTCCTAGGTGACTGATTTGACAGCACATTTTGGTAAATTTTGAAAGAATCTTTCAATTTCATCATGAAGGCTAATTACAATATAGATCCAAATCATCTGAGGACTAGAGAATTAAATTACGAATTACGTATACGGGGTGTTGCGGTAGACAGGGCAGACACTGATCAAAAGAGGAAATTTTTGAGAAGAGAGTTGAGACAAGATTTAGCTAGACCTGATGT